TGGAAGGCATTTCACTAACTCTTGCCCCATCTAGTGGTTGAAATAATACCATAATAAAAATGTGGCTCTGGTAGGGTAATAAACAATAGCTTTTGAAAATACCTCACATAGTTCATGCGTAAATAAAGATCTAATGCAGGGGTGACCAAGGCGATGCTCACAGGTATCAAGGGGCTCTCAAGGACCACACGGATGGCCCTCAACCCCTTATGACAACAGAACAGCACACCAGTGGGCTAAATTGACATTTTATTTTATTTCGTGGTGTCATGATGAGGCAGGATTTCTAGCCCAAACGCAGAACTCACAGACACAGAGAGGCAGGTTAAAAGTCCAATTGTTTATTGGAAAAACCAGACAGGGTTCCTCCTGGGGAGCGGAGGAGACAAAGCAGGTTAGGTTCAGGTACAGGTTCACGGAGTCAGAACAGGCAGGATGGCTCAGGCTTGCTAACCACAACAGGGAACAACAATCCGGCCCAGAGGGAAGCTGTCCTTTCAGCTTAAGTAAGGAGAGCTTAATGAGCAGATGGAGATCAGCTGCTTCAAATGTGCACCAGCTCTCAGGAGAGGATCCACGGCACCCTCTGGTGGGCAGACCTCTGGATCCCAACCGACAGCACAACCCCTCAGAAAGGGATCTACATCACCCTCTGGTGGGCAGACCTCTGGATCCCAACAATGGCTCTTCTTTTTTCTTTTTTTTTTCTTACAGTATTTAATCATATTAATCATATAGAGTATTTAGGCATTTATTTCAAAATAAGAATTTAAGAAATTAAATAACAAAATAAAAAATGTGTTTACTACTGTATGTATAGAGTTTAGGTGAAGACGACTCCTCCAGTTCATTGGTAGCCCTTCCTATGGCTTAGTACTCATGAAGTAGCCCTCAGCCTAATCTAATGGCACTTTCTATATAAAGATATTCTATGTTGTTTCGACAATTATTAGAGAGTAAATTCCTATTTTGTCAAACAGTTAATATATTTAGGCCTTTTTTGTGAATGTTAAACTCTCGTACCTACTGCTCTGTTACTTCTGGTTCTGTTATTAGTTTAATTTCATGCCTTTAAACCTGATGTCTTCAACGTTTTCCAGACCAAGGACCCCCAAACTAATGGCGAGATGGAGCGTGGACCCCCTAATTATATATATTGTCTGAAATTGTGTTATATCAAAGTGGTCCTATAGTCACTCTATAACAGATGGAGTAATGTAACGAAAGTTTCTCCCTGGGATTATTAAAGTATTGCTGATTCTGATATATATATATATATATATATATATATATATATATATATATATATATATATATATATATATATATATATATATATATATATATATATATATATATATATATATATATATATATATATATATATATATATGTATATATATATATATATATATATATATATATATATATATATTGGTAGCGAGGGAGGCCGAGGGCTAGTGAGTGTCAAGACCACTGTCCAGGCTGAAACAACTAAGATCCAGGAATACATCTGGAAAATGGCCCCCAAAGACAAATGGCTTGTTGAATACCTCAGGCAGGAGAAAACCGAAAGTGAGGACAAGAAAGATGATAAAGGAGAACCATCATGGAGGGACAAGCCGCTCCACGGCATGTACCACAGACAAATAGAAGAAGTGGCTGATATCAAAAAATCCTACCAGTGGCTGGAAAAGGCTGGACTGAAGGACAGCACAGAGGCACTAATCATGGCAGCACAAGAACAGGCACTCAGTACAAGATCAATAGAGGCCAGGGTCTACCACACCAGGCAGGATCCCCGGTGCAGACTGTGCAGAGATGCCTCTGAAACAATCCAGCACATAACAGCAGGGTGTAAAATGCAGGCAGGAAGTGCATACATGGAACGCCACAACCAGGTAGCTGTCATAGTGTACAGGAACATCTGCCATGAGTATGGGCTGGAAGTTAGTGTTGCGCCGATGCCATTTTTTGGCCCCGATACCGATACCCGATACCTGGCTGTGCAGTATCGGCCGATACCGATACCATAATAATGTAAAATAATTGCCATCATGGCTTTGTCAAGCTGCTGCCTACCTTTGTGAAGCCAGAAAAAATCTAATACAAAGTGAATCCAGTAGAACTTTTTATTGCCTACCAGGAGTGGGTGACAATAGTTGAATAAACTTATGGCTCTCAAAATGGTATCGGTGCCCTATTTGTCGGTACTCGCCGATACCGATACCACCATTTTAGGGCAATATCGGGGCCCCGTCCGATACTGGTATCGGTGCAACACTACTGGAAGTCCCAAGGTCAAAATGGAAGACATCTCCTGAGGTAGTTGAGAATGACCGAGCTAAGATCCTATGAGACTTCAAGATCCAGACTGACAAACAGGTGATGGCTAACCAACCAGACATTGTGTTGATCGACAAACAGCAGAAGAAGGCAGTAGTAATAGATGTGGCGATCCCAAGCGACAGCAACATCAAGAAGAAAGAACACGAGAAGCTTGAGAAATACCAAGGACTGAAAGAGGAGCTAGAAAAGATGTGGAAAGTAAGAGCAGCAGTGGTGCCAGTAGTAATTGGAGCACTGAGGGCTGTGACCCCAGTGCTCCAATTACAGCAGATTCCAGGCAAAACATCAGAGGTCTCTGTCCAGAAGAGCGCAGTCCTAGGAACAGCTACAGTAAGATACTGAGCAGAACCCTCAAACTCCCAGGCCTCTGGTAGAGGACCCGAGCTTGAGGATGACACATACCACCCCACGAGGGGTGAGAAAACAGTTTATATATATATATATATATATATATATATATATATATATATATATATATATATATATATGTCTATTCAACCAAAACTTTAATGACGCCCATTCAGCCCATTCAGTGAAGACCTTTGCTTTATACTCTTAGTGTTTAATTTTAATTCCAGAAATTAACCATTTAGTACACTGATTAGAAAAAAACATGTTTTGAAAAAACATGTTTTGAAAAAACTTAGCAGTTCCTTGAAACTAAATAGGATTAGATTTAATTGAGATTATGCTCTCAATATTTTTATTCACTGTAAAAATATTTTGTGAAATTTTTTATTACAACTGTTTTCAAAAGTTTAATTTTATTGTGAAGGGTATCTTTTGTTATGTTATACTGCACCTCCATTTTGAGTGATTGACAAAGAAAATGTGTGAACGTGTTTTTTCCATGGCTGCTGAAATGTTGTTACCTGAGCTGTGATGAAGAATAAACAAAGAGTAAACTAACGGACAGTGTGATTACTTAAATTATGAAAAAAGAAAAAAACACCTCAACAGATTTATAAAAGGAAATGAGATATGAGTGGTAAAAGCATGTTAACCTTCTAAGAAATCCACAAGCTTGTGAAACAACACGTAGATTTGCCCACAGTCTTAATTACGTGCTTCAACCAACGACAACCATCACCATAATATGGTGCCGATTGTATTCATTATTTTCACTTCAATAGTTTAATTCACTGGGCAAAAAGCTTTTTTTTATATACATCATAATTAAACCTTGAGTTATATTCAAAGTTCGGATAACAGAAAAATTAAATATATGACATCCTAGATTATTTAAAAAATTTTGTATTTACTTTGGGAAGTAACTAGTTATTTTGGATGTGTTTTTTTGAGAAATAATTCAAATTATTTCTCAAAAAAACACATCCAAAATAACTAGTTACTTCCATGGGAAAGTAGTTCCGTGGCAGTTCTGGGTGACAGCAGGCACAACAAGGCAGAGGACAGCTGTGTGTTTTCCTACTTTGTAATGTTGTTAAATTGCACAATTTCTTACAATTAGGATCCTCCTTAGCTACTGTACTGACTTAAATACTGACTTAAATTCTGCCATGCACGTGGGCATTGTCAGTTTAACTATAGCTCTTGTGAATTTCAATGGTAAAGTCCTCTGGAAATCTTCAATAATTGTTGTTGATTGCAGATGTGTCTAGTAGTTCCATTGATTTTGCTTGTAAAGCGACCGTGACCGTGACGTCACTGCCGAATGATGTCAGGAGTGAGGTGTTACTATATTTGGGCAAAATGGCCACTCCCAGACTCAGTGATCATTTAGAATGTTTTTAGAGCATAAACAGTAGTATATAGGATTTCCTGAAAGCGCGTTTACGGCGCTACGGAAACCGCGGCAGACCAAACCTGATGAAAGTGCGCATTCAGCTCGGCAAAGAACTCATGCTCTTCCTCAACACTGAAGTCCTCAGACATTTTTCTTTCGTTGTTTCTTTCTTTGCACAGGTAAACAGCAAATTTCTTCTTCTACGCTTGCATTATCAAGAGCAGACGCTGAATGAGCACTTTCATCTGGCTTGGTCTGCCGCAGTTTCCGTAGGCTCGTGAACTCGCAGGCGCGCGCTTTTAGGAAATCCTATACACTACTGTTTATGCTCTAAAAACATTCTAAATGACTTTGTTTCGAGTAAATTATGGACGCTACCAACTCAGGACACTTGGAATACATTGGACGAGCAGTATGGAGGAATATTGACACGTTTTTTGTGGACATTTATGGACCTTTCTGCCTCCTTTAAATGCGCTAAAGAAACACACATCATATCATATTGACATTTTTATTTACTTACTACAAAAATAAGAAAGGAAAAAGATATTCTCTTACAGTGGAAATATCCACTTAAGCAAATAAAAGGACAAGGAACATGAAACATAACAATAAAAAAAGTTACTTAAAGCCAACAATTGGAAAATTACTTATTGTGGTAAATTATTCTAAGTAACTGTATTAGAACAAGTTGTCAGAAAATGGAGAGGCTGGACCCAAAATGCAGAGGCATAGATGGTTTCTTGTAGATTTATTGACAGAGGCAGCAGTAATATAAATACATAAATCCAAAAGTCATCAGAAAAGGAGCAAGGAAACCAGAACAGAGTACACGGGAGGTGACTGACAGGAACTGATGGGGACATGAAATACAGACAAACTGCAGAGGACGGGTATATATACTGTACACTGAGGAGGAGACTAACATGATAAAGATTGGAGTAAATATTTGGGTGGAAACAGGTGTGCGGAGAAAGAACCACAAGAGATCCAATGGGAAGGAAGGTGACACTAGGGGGCAATGGAGAGTAACTGGGAATCATAATCTAAAGAGAACTGGAAACAATGAATGGCAAAATAAATCCAGAGCAAAAAAAGACAAAGGAATACTTAACAGTAGATAACACCAGATAGGAATAGTAAAACTAAGAAGTAATTTAAAAATATATATATAATTTGTAAAAACACAATAACATATATCCAAGCCTAACTGAAAACTAAACAGAACCAAAAATCCCTGAACGGCAGATCATAATACAAGTTGCAAGTAATCATTATCTTGTCTTTAGGAGACGGCACTCAGTAAAACTTTGGGCTGTAATCTACTGCTTAATATAAGTGAGTTAAGAGAGATAAATGTAAGCTTTCTTTTTAATGAACAATTTATAAATTTAGGATGAAATTAAAAGGTAGAGTTAGAGAAATAATGGCTGGAAGAAAATAATCACAATGCTAGCTGTTTGCAATTTGGCAATCAAGATTGCTTTGGACTCCAGCACTTTTCAAGACATAAACAACCTCACAATCCTGGAGTTCTCTTTTTTTATTGTTGCTGATTATTTTAAACTTCTCATAAGGTGGAATGAGCACTTCCCGCTCATGTTGAAATACTGAGTACGTTTTTAAATAAGCACCATGACATGTTTTAATCTTAAAGCATGTCTCACGACCAAAAGAGGTCAAATTTGATTCAAAGGAGGTTGAGGTAAAAGCACCAAACCGAATTGTTTGTTTGACATTTCCAGTAAATTTTTCTGTGGTTCTGCGAAAAGTCGTTTTACATTTTTTTTGTTTATTAAGAATCTGTATAGCCCTGGTCAGCCAGAAATAAAGGGAATGGAATCGAAAGGATGAACCATATGCTTCCCGTTTGGTCCTGACTTCTTCATTGAATTTTTTATAGAGGTTTGGATTTTCATTTGTATAAGTACACATTGCTTGCATGAGGTCTTTTGTAAGAGCCTTATCTCCTTCCTCTCTCTTTTTTAAGTTTTGGTTTGCACACTCTTCAGCTGCCTCCCATGCAGGTTTAAATAATTTATCCTCCATTTCTTTTTTAAAGAACATGTCTTTAACCTTTTTTTTCCCATTATTTTAGCACAGTTAGAATACATGTCATCAACAGAATTTCTGGCCATGTCCAGCGGAAATAAATAATCTTTTTGTGTATTGACAGAGACAATGATCTAGAACAAAGAAGGAAAGAAAAAAAATTAATGATGATTGAAGCAGGAGAGATATCAAGTTGTGTACTGGTTGTAAATAACAGTGATCCAGGCTTCAGTATAGGAAGTTAATATCAAACTAATACTACATCCAAAAGTAAACTGACCTCAATTAAAATAATTTTGCGGATAGACACATTTAAATGAAATTATAAAACTAAATGACATGACTGAGGTAAGTAAAGATAGATTTCACTAACAGTTAAACACATTTTCAATATATAATAAACTTAGGTTTTAATGCCATTCAACACAAATTACCTTCTGTGAATCATCAAAATGCATGCAGCAAAGCAGCAAACAGAGATCACCGAAAATCACCATTTTGGCCTTCATGTTTGAAATCCTGCAAACAAACATAAATGTAACAGTGAAGTGACCAAGTACTAGCTTCAGTAATGATATAAAAAAAATCTTACGGTTATCCAAATAAGACTTTGCTTTGGGGAAGTAAATTGTAGACCTGCCAGTCTAACTTTCACACACCCACAGTGATGATTTACCACGATTTGCAAGTACTTTTACACTCCGATCTTTAAAAAAGACCCACCCACCTTCAAAAGCCCCCCACCGCAGACACACACACAGATACACACACTCGACTTAAACAAGAAGGATGACACATATAGTGCAGTGATGTGTCACGGCTCTAGACAATATTGTTTTAATGTTTAGCGTGTCCTTTGTCACAGTTTGCAATGAACAGTCTAACTACAGTATAATAAGATCAGATGTATGAATCACTGTTTATAATTACAAGCCATCCATGCAAATGTTTTTTGTGTTCTCTTTAGAATGTATATTAAAAAAACTGATAACTTACTGTCTGAAATTTGGAGAGTTGTTTTCTTTCCTAATGGAAGGTGAACCCCTTTTGAGAGATACAGCAACACACTTAGAATTATGTAGCCTCAATAACAGAATACATTTGCTGGTAAAACTCCTTTTACCTTATAGTATTTTGTACAATTATCAGTCTGGTTCTAGAAGTGATCATACCGACAAAAAATACAAAAATGTATATGATCACTTTTCTTAAAAATGCATGTTTATGGGGCATGCTTTGGTGTTGCAGTGGTTAGAGCACACCACCCATGTATGGAGGGCGACCTGGGTTCAAATCCGGCCTGTGGGCCCACATGTCCCCCTTTCCTGTCAGCTTACTGTCCAGAAAACGGATCACTGGTGCTGTAAAAACTCAGAAAACAACTAAAACACAAGAACATAAACTACTCTTCATGTGAGTGTTTTGGATGAGCAGATTCAAACCACGAGGGCCCCAATATATCACATACATGAGTGCATGCTCCTTCTCTGTGCTTGTGGCTTCCTTTTAATGTACCTGTAACCTCTCTCCTATATACTATTTGATTATTTTAGTTGTATATGAGCAGTCTACAAATAAAGCTCTAGTTAGCACAACCTAAAATACCTTGTTTTCTTTACTTTTTTGTAAATGCAACTAGTTTGCATACTTTTTACATGTGCACTATGAGTTTGATGCAGGTCACCATGCAACCCTGACCCAATGCCCTCACGATTTTTGATCCAGATATGTTCATAAGATGCTGGGATGCTGGATGCTTTTGATAACCTCGTATAAACTAAACGAGGCACCGAACAAGATTGAACAAAAATTCGGGCCTATTAAAAAATTGCTTCTTTGCATTTAAAATGAAGCAAAAAGTTAGACTTGTTTTAGAACGTTAGAAATTTAGTGGCCTGATAAGATCAACAACATAGCATAATGCACCATATTTAACTTAAAAGGTCTTCAAAATCGCACTTACTTCCGTAATCCGTTACACTGTCATCTTTGGTTCCGGTTTCCTTGCAATGTGGGTTGTACCAAAAAGCATAAAAAAAGAGTGACGTCTATGAACATGACCCGTGTGTGTTTATACTCTTTTACTTATTGCTCACAGGTGGGATGAAAGTAAAGATGATCAAACAGGTCATTTGTATTTAGATGTATATATTTTAATCAAAATTGTTGTATATGAAAATTGTTGTATATCAAGTTAAAACTTTTGAAAAAGAACAGCAATTAGTCTGAAGATGCTTTGCTGACATTACTAGCCATAAACAAGAAGTAAATGGTACTGTCTCGAGAGACTCTGTGTTTTGTGAAAATTATTAAATCCCAGGGAGTTTACTTTCTCTGATTGGTTCCATGCATGAAGTCACAGATATTGCAAGAGTTGGAACAGTGTTTTTTTATGAACAGCAGATAAAAATTTATATGGATTAAGATGCAGCTGAACCTTGAGTTGTCTCACAGCTTTTAGCTTCAACCCCCATAATGATGGCATCAGCTTATTTAAGTTTCCTAAGGATCCTGGGCTGCTTTCAAAGGAATCGAAGCAGGTCAGATGAGACGAGAGAATTTGGAGCACCCCGCAGCATCTCTTCTTTGTTTGAAACATTTTGAGAAAGACTGAAACAGTTGCTTGATTGTTCAGTATACCACTATGTTCTGCCTCCAGTAGCCATAGCTACAGCATCCCCCTGGGGGAGGAAGAGAACATTTGTCAGTTTATGAGCCAGACATAGATAAATCAATTGTTATTAAGTACCTGCCGATGTCACTATCAGTGCTTCAAGCTCCACATTCGTGGAGTGACCATATTGAGGTAAGAGAAAGTTTTAAAATATTCAAAAAGAAAGAGAAGCTGATGGGGAGCTTAAATTGTGGCACGTTGCTCTTCCAGATGATGATCCAAAGCTAATTGTTTTTAGTAATACCGAAGTAACAGCCTCTGTGTTCTGTATTAGGTGTTAAAGAATCATAGTAGAAACCTTATGTCAAATCACAGTGCATTAAGCTGAGCTGATGAGAGTCTTTCTAGAATTTCAGTAGAAACAGTTTTTGTTGCACCCGTGGTGATGGGACAGGGTTTGCGCTTTTGCACTCTGAAGTTTGAACCGATGTTTTAGGTGAAATGGAGCAATCCTCAATTTCAAGGCATTTGTCTGAAAAACAAAACAAAGTAATTTTTTTATTACCTCATTGCATGAAATGTTTTGTACATGTACATAACACGAAAAAAGGAAACCTACAGAGAAACTTAAACTGATGGTAATCAGTTTAATTAGCACAGCCAAATGCAACTCTATAGAAATAACTTTAAAATCTTGACTCAAACCAACTCAAGTTCGCAGCATCTTAATGGTTTTCTAAGTTTGTTCAAATTGATTGAATATTAAGAACTGAATGCTATTCCATATTTTTATGAATGCTACTCAATGCTACTCCATGCTACTTGATGTTTACCCTATCTACTTCCTTTATTTCATGCAATGACAGCTAAAGACAGAAACTTAATTTCCAATAACACTGAAAGGAAAAAGTGGTAGGGTATTAAAAACAGATCACTGGGAGGAAAATATCCAAAAGTTTAAGTCATACACTGGTTCCACTCCTCAGACAGCCTGCTGAATAGGTGACTGCTACAACTCCTAGAAGGATGTTAATCCACAGATAATGGACAAGGAGAGCATTTACATGAAGTAAAAAACCTTATTTTTCCTAGAAATTGAGGTAAAAAAAAAAACAAATACGATACATATCGCTATTAATTGGAGTCCCCACCCTTTGGATCCGGATGAGTATGTCTTCTTTCTTCACAGTAGTGTCTTCATTAGGAGAGGTGAGTGGATATAGACAAGGGCCCAAATTTTCCTCTTGATTCCGCTGTTAAAGGTAGAGCTCTTCTCTTTCAATTTTAAATGTTCTCCCCTTTCATAGATAACCCTCATAATTCTAGGCAATGTTGGAGGTAATCCTGTTTTTCCTTCTGAAAGTAGAGTAACATCGTTCTACAAATATACACTGCTCAAAAAAATTAAAGGAACACCTTGAAAACACATCAGATCTCAATGGGGAAAGAATCATGCTGTTTATTTTTACTGATATGGACTGGGTGATGTGTTAGGAAACAAAAAGATGCCACATCATTTGATAGAACTGAAAATTATCAACCTACAGAGGGCTGAATTCAAAGACACCCCAAAAATTACTGTGAAAAAATTATGCGACAGGCTAGTCCATTTTTTTGCTAGTCCAACTGCAAATGGTATTCAGTCATTTGTATGGCCCCAACGTGGGTGTATGCATGCTCCTAATGAGACGACGGATGGCATCCTTAAGTATCTCCTCCCCGATCTGGACCAGGGCATCACTGAGCTTCTGTCTGAGGTGCAACCTGGCGGCGTCGGATGGATCGAAATGGGTGACAATGGGTGCAAGGATTTCATCCCGATACCTAATGGCAGTCAGGGTGCTGTTGTCTAGCCTGTATAGGTCTCTACGTCCCTCCTTTGATATGCCTCCCCAGACAGTCACTGACCCACCACCAAACCGGTCATGCTGAACAATAATTACAGGCAGCATGACGTTCTCCACAGCTTCTCAAGACCCTTTCACGTCTGTCACATGTGCTCAGGGTGAACCTGCTCTCATCTGTGAAAAGCACAGGGCGCAAGTAGCGGACTTGTCAATTATGGTGTTCGGTGGCAAATGCCATTCGAGCTCCACAGTGCCGGGCAGTGAGCACAGGGCCCATTAGAGGACGTCGGGCCCTCAGGCCCCACTCATGAAGTCTGTTTCTGATTGTTTGGTAAGAGACATTCACACCAGTGGCCTGCTGGAGCTCATTTTGTAGGGCTCTGGCAGTGCTCCTCCTTACACAAAAGAGCAAATACCGGTCCTGCTGATGGGTTGTAGACCTTCTAGAGCCCTATCCAGCTCTCCTGGAGTAACTGCCTGTCTCCTGGAATCTCCTCAATGCTCTTGAGATTGTGCCGAGAGACACAGCAACCTTCTGGCAATGGCACGTATTGATGTGCCATCCTGGAGGAATTGGACTGCCTGTGCAACCTCTGTAGGATCCAGGTAGCACCTCATGCTAACAGCAGTGACAGTGACTAGCCAAATGCAAAACTGGTGAAAAAGAGTCAGAAATGATGAGTAGGGAATGTCAGTGGCCTCCACCTGTAAAACCATTCCTGTTTTGATGGTCATCTCATTGTTGCCCCTCTAGTATACCTGTTGTTAATTTCATTAACACCAAAGCAGCTGAAACTGATTAACAACCCCCCTGCTACTTACTTGACTAAATCAATATCCCAGAAGTTTGATTAACTTCATGCGATACTCTGATTACAAAGTGTTCCTTTTTTTAGGGTAGTATATATAGATGAAACTCTACCTTTGATTCTAGGTTAACCATTAGGTAGTGTGTGTGGGTGGGTGTGTGTGTATGTGTGTGTGTGTGTGTGTGTGTGTGTGTGTGTGTGTGTGTGTGTGTGTGCGTGCGCTTAGTGATGGTGAATCAGGCAAGACTTAAGATTGGAGTTAAGATCTGAAGTGTGGGTCTGAAAAACACACCGTCTCCTGGTGAATGAGTGAGGTGTTTAGGAAGGCAGGAAGATGTTGTATTCAAAGGAACAGTTTCTGGGAGCAGTTAAAAGAATGGTCTTAACACATTTAAAAGCTT